TGTATTATTTATCTAAAATAATACCATTAATTTGAAAAAATAAATCAGAAGAAAAAACAATAATATTAGGTTATTTTTTTCGAAACAGTAGACACAGGACAAGAGGGATAATTCAAGACAGCAAGTCATCTATCTAAAACATTTGTGTGAATAGGTGCTGGAACTGAGGGGCGAGACTTTTAACAAAGGGACAAACATTGCTAATGACTACAGGGGATAGGAGGTTGCGGAGAGCCACGATCGCCCACACCCTGAAAGGATACGGGACGTAGAAAAAGAATCTCCTAAAATTTATATATAAATCATATTTGCGGAAAAAGTTTGTAGGTGTCATTTCAGAAAGTGAGTACAAACGAAAAGTAAAAAAAAAAAAGAAAAAAAAAAGTATTTAAGATCAAAATGAAAGAAAAATTTTTTACCGGAGAAGAATATGTACAAAAATATTTATGAGAGGACCTGATAAAAAAAAAAAAAAAATAGAATCAGGAATATTTAAATCTTAACATCTGATTTTGTTCCCCCGCCACTTTTTTGGCTCCCCACCACTTTTATCGATTTCGTCCCCACCACTTCACATTTATTGATTGGACGTCCCACCACTTTTAACATCTGCTATGGCTCCCTACCAATTTCAATATCTGTTATATACCGTACCTATGAACACTAATGGGTATGTCCCAATCCTCATAAATACGTTGGACACTATTGTAAGTGTGGTGGTGGTAGGTTAATATGTTGTCTAAGTAGTCTACCAATAGCAGTGGTTTACCTACTTCACGCCGCTGGCGAGTATTGTATTTTGTTCCTGTTATAAATATTACCATTTCATTTCCAACCTCAGTTTTGGTTATTCCTCATTCACTAACCCTTTCTAGGTTACAACAATATCACATTTAGCTTCTCACCAATTTTAACATCTCAGTTTGCTTCCCACCACTTTTAATATCTCAATTTGGTTTTATCCTACTTTTAACACGTGATTTTACTCTCCTTGACTTTAACATCTGATTTGGCTCGCCACCACTTTTAACATCTGATATTGTTTCCCACCAGTTTTAATATCTCATTTAGCTTCATACCACTTTTAATAATCCCATTTGGCTCCTCACCACTTTTAACATTTGATTTGGTTCACCACCACTTTTAAAATCTGATTTGCATAACCATCACTTTTAGCATATGGTTGGGATCCCCATTACTTTTAACAACTGATTAGACTCTCCATCAATTTTAACATCTGATTTAGTTCTCACCGACTTTTAACATTTTATTTGCCCCCCCCGATCACTTTTAATACCTGATTTTTCTCTGCATTTGATTTGGCGCCTCCCCACATTTAAAATTGTGATTTAGCCCCACACCACTTGAACTTCTTATTTGGCTCCCTAACACTTTGAACATCTCATTTATCTTCTCATCATGTTTAACACGATTTTTCTCACCACCATTTTTAATTTGATTTAGATCTCCTTCATTTTTAATATCTGATTTTGCTTCCCACCACTTTTAGCATACGACTGGTATCCCCACTACTTTTGGTATGACTCCCCACCAATTTCAATATCTCATTTAGCTTCTCATAACTTTTAACATCTGATTTAGCACCTCGCCAATTATTTCAACATCGATTTAGATCCCAATCTCTTTTAACCTCTAATGTTGCTCACTACCATTTTTAACGTCTGATTGAGCTCCCCACCACTTTTAAAATCTAGATTTATCTCCCTGCCATTTTAAACATTTGATTTGCTGCCCCAACCTTTTTAAATAATTTCAATTGACTCCCCACATTTTTAACATCTGATTTAGTACACCACCTCTTTTAAACTGTTATTTAGCTTCCGTTACTTTTAACATCTGATTTGATTCACATTCACCTTTTATTTTGTGGTGCTCTGCTTGAAACCCGAAATGTATTTTTATGTTTAATATAAAAGCATTTTAGTGAAAGTGCCTATATTTCTGTATGCGTTGCTGGTGTACTTTCTTTCGTAGATATGGGAAAGGATTTCTAGCGCTCCACTTGTTGCGTGTCTTATCATGTCAGCGTAAAATAGCCCTGGTATTCATTGCAGAATTTGAAAAGAATGAGGACTAAACTTATATGTAATCGATCTGATAGTAACAGACAAACCTACATTGTAATGAACAAGGAAGTGAATTGCTTGCTTTAAGGATTCAATTCTTAGTTATATTTGAAAGTGAGACAAATTGGCAGTGGTTTCTTTTTTTCCATTTGATGGAAAACTCAAAGTAATGGTGATATTAGTTGTTTTCTTATAAGCAATAGCAGCAAGTAAAATGCATAGCACATGTAACCCGAACAGAAAATAATAACATAATCATGATGTTGACCTTTCACACTACGTCAAAGAAAAGGTTAGGAAGGAAACCCCATCATTACTAGAAAGAGCGATAAAAGCTACTAGACTTGAGAAACTTATTTTCCCTAAAACTTGGTTTGAGAGAAACATTTTATAAATTTCAACTGAACTCAGAACTGGCTGTTTGGTAAATGAATGCTGAATACTTCATTATAAGGACTACGGCTAATATTAGCATTACAATTAACATAGCGTATTAAACGAATATAATTACAAAATGACTATAACATCACAGCATGTTTAGTATAATCGGTGGGCAGGATGAAATATTATGGTTCGTAGTTTTTGATTTATGATCTTATAGGAAATAAACCTTATTTCCGACATAATAACATACCCACATATATAACATATTACAACACGCCCAAATTTCGACTTTCAAAGAGCAGAGATGCGGCTGTCTTCGGACCGTTCCGACACAAGAGAAAACGCATTTTTGACCCTCTTCGTGTGTGCTGAAAGAAACGTGTGCTGTAGTCGACATCAAACGAATCAGCTACAACAACAGCTTCGACGGTCAGTGAATGTTCGCTGACGATCATGTGTCGGCGACTTCAAACGAATTATCATCAACAGCAACAACAAAGACGAACAGTGAATTTTTGCTAACGACAAAAATCGTGGTGAATCACCACCCAAAGATTTTAACTCAACTAAAACATTTTTTAATCATTATCAACTCTTTTGAATTCATGTATATATATTTGCAAATAGACATAATTTATTCAACAGGCATACCCATGTTTTCTTTACCTTTATTATTGATTTAATTCGAACGTTTGGATTTTTATTATAACACACCCTGGAGGACCGAATTTCCTACGAATGGTGACCTTGACCAAGGAAACCAACCTTCTGATACCTTTAATATTATATTTAATATATAGCCTTTAATACTGCCAGACACCGCCTCCAAACAAACACCAACAACTCAACGTTAGAACATTTCTGAAATTACGACAACGCCGACGCAAAAATTTTATATCTGCACACATATAACACAAAAAAAATGTACAAACTTGTTTCTCCCAACTACAGACAATCAACCAAAACCTCAGAATTCGCGTTAATTTTAAATCTACCCGCACACAACTTGTTTCTCCCAACTACTGGCAATAAATCGTGTTGATTTTAAATCTACCCGCATACAACACGGAAAATGTATAAACTTGTTTCTCCCAACTGCAGGCAATTTCCAAAATTTGGACGACCAAATTTCTTACAATAACACAGATTTAGTCAGTGTTTGCTTTTTTTTCAAATTTATATTAAATGAATCATGCCATTTCATTTTTCACGCAGATTTACATTTTAAATCAAAATGATGAAAATAAAAGAGAAGAAAAACATAAATAAATGAAATAACAACTATTTTAAAAATCTTTTATCGACAATGTTAATTTAAACCAGAGAACGATGTGTAAAAAAAACCAAAAAAAACAAAAAAAAAAAATCACAAAGGTGAATTTTGGTTCTGAAAGAGAAAAACAGTTTTGTGATAATCACCAAACCAACATGATGTTTGCTTTTTTGCAGTAGAATTGGCTACAACCTGCTACCTTTGCTTTACAATAGTTGTTACATTTGTATATATATTTCATACACTGTAAATGCAACAACCATTATGGACAGTGGTAGTGCAGTATATCGTATAATACATCACTTCCTAATAAGAAAGATTGGGACGGTTGTAAATTAGCTTTGTATTTTGAATTTTGAAAGTCTGAGGGAATTTATTTTGTACTCAGGAACCTAAAAAGAGAATAAATTTCATCAAAAGTTGTGAAAAAGGTGCATTCAAAATATGTGGTCAGATAAAACATTCTTAAACATATCTGAGAATGTATGTAAGCTACAAGTAAAACTATTAGATACTGTGACATCGATTAAAATGGTCGTGCCATTTTTCTTTCAGAAAAAGAAAACGATAAACACTGAAAATATAACGTCAAGAATATTTTTTGGCAAATTCGTGCAGTGGAATGATGTCAGCAGTGATTTTGAATGATGCAAGAAAGACAAAAAATTATTGCAGAAAAAAAACCCAATAAAAAACAACAAACAATATGGCGGACGCAAAACATAGTAATGAAATTGAGTAAGGGACAATTCCATTACGTTTTAAATGATGAAATTGAAGCATGCAAGGATCACGTGAAGAGGGAACTGTTCTGCACTGAATAGATCCTCAACATTTGATTAAAAATAATAATTGTGGTCAGGTGAAATTGGATATATTTGACACCGAATGGATACGCTACGCTCGATTGGATGATTAAAACAAAAATGATAAAATGAGGGTCACGTGACAATGAAATTATTCTGCAAAGAGTAAATGCTTGAAATCAAACTGGGAATCGTGTGCAGAAATTTTGAAAGAATCCTCATTTTTTTAATAGAATGTATGATAATCAACCAATCAGCTTGCGATATGGTCAGCTAATTACCATAATGGCATATCTTAATGTTCATAATATGTGCTAGTAGTGTTATAAAATTCAGTGGTTATAAATTACAGCAGTAATAAATAGTATAATTAAATAAATAAATAAATAAATAAATAGGCATTCGTTTGTTTTTGTCCGTTTTTTTTTGTCTCTTTAGTTTTTCTTTGTTTTAGAATTCTTCTTCCTCTTCTTCTTCTTCTTCGTTATCTCCTGACTCCAGTCCAACTTCTTCGTAATCTTTTTCCAAGGTCGCCAGGTCCTCACGGGCTTCCATAAATTCCCCTTCTTCCATGCCTTAAAGAAAAAAAAATGCAGAAGCAGTTAAGGATGTTTTTATCGTCAACATTTTATTAACTTACGAAGAAAGCTGCATTATGATAATAATTTGTTGTTTGGCTTCTGATTTTCGAACACATTTTATTTCTTTCAGCAAGAAGACCATATCTTTAAAAAAAAACAACAACAAAAAACGGCGTTCATGCTGAAATAGGTAATCATCATCATCATCATTGTTTCGACTTGCAGGCACGCTGTAAATCAGTCTACCTTTGCCGAGTATGCTCATGTGTTCAGGACTACAACACATAGAGAGCCAAGCTATGGTTTATAATGCAACTATGGTGAGCGGACCTGACTATGTGTCCCAAAGGAGGTGGGGAGTTCATACAGTTTTAAATTCATAGTTGTTGTTCTCCTATACTGGGTGTCAATCACAGATGGACATTCCAGTCTGCTCTGCTGGTTCTCAGAAAAGTGAGTGTGGGGTGGGGGAGTAGGATTCATACACTTCCCAAGGGTATTTGTGCGAAAGTGAACGACTTCGACTTGAATTCGAACTCGGTTTGCAGATTCCTCGTTCCGCGCATCTAAGCATTCCACCATCTGCATATCCACAAAAAAGAATAATGATCCCCGAAAAATACGCCTGTTCATAAAGAATATTTAATTAATGCATAAGAGATGTGATTGATTTTGATAATATTTCGATGGTTAATGACTACCAACTGGCGTAGTAAAGTAGTAAACTTAGTGGTTTAATTTCTTAAAATTGTCTGATATATAAGGTTATATAGTATGACGAAAGGTTTTTTTTGCATATCATTCAATATAATCAACTTTTGACTATGAAAAAGAGAAACATAGATAAAGTTTAACAATCGTACTCACAAAAAATCAACAAAAAATCTCAAAAACAAATAAAACCCTCCCCAAAAAACAAAAACAAAACACAACAAACAAAAAACGGCGTGTCAAAAGGACTATTTTTCTCTTGACATCCGCTGTTACTGTAGACTTCCCCCGTAATTTTTATTGTTTTAAAAAGTTGATATTTTAGAATTTTAATAAAACTTAAACATATGAAACTGGATTTATGCATTTTTGTTTTTTTTCACGAGAATTAACAACAAACATGTTAAACACAGATTGTTTGTTTACAAGAATAATTTTATATTTACAAGATTATAAAAAATATACTTGTGTCAACTACAATGTAAAATTTATTATCTTACTTATTATAAAACGCAGATTGTGTGTGTGTGTGTACGTTTATATATTGGATCGGATTTCCTACATTTTTCAACCGATTTCAACAAAACTTCACAGGACAACGTAAAATTACCTTGCGGTGGTTCTGACAGCGCCAAAAATGGGAAAAACATAATTGTTTTTGCACGAAATCAATTTGAAAACACGATTAAGAGGCATCACGAGAATGAAAGGGGGACAACTCATATCGAGTTATACTTATAAAACCCAGGTTGTTTGTGTGTGTGTGTGTGTTCGTTTATATATGGGATCGGATTTCCTACATTTTTCAACCGATTTCAACAAAACTTCACTTTTTTTGGCAGGTAGTGTTTCTTATTGTCCTGCACACTTTTTTCTTTATTTTTACATTCAGAATGCTTTTAAAATTTCATTTACAAGACAATTGTTTATAATAAAATTCTATTCAATCGGTAGACTCATAACGATTGAAAACTTGAAATGTTTTTGTTTGAGTTTGGGTTTGACCAATTCGTAAAAAAAAAAAAAAAAAAAACGAAACAAAAAAAGAAAAAAAAACTAATTAAGACATGCGTGTCCGTCAACCTTAAACAATAATCGTTGTCAATTTTATTTTTCAGTCTTTATGATGGTCGATACTTGATCTATCTCTTACTGTTACATCCCCGGGCAACGCTGGGCTCTACTGCTAGTTTACAATATTATAAAAAATAACTATGAAAACATTTTTTGTATTCATCAATTTATAAAAATCTATGTGAACTAAAAACGAGTAACTCTAATTATAAATTTCGAACAGATTTTCCGGACATTTCTTTTATTTACTCTCGCCACATAAATTCACAAAAATGTTAAGCATTATTTATTTATTAGATTGTTTATTTACAAGAATAATTTGACAAAGTTTAACAAACGTACTTGTAAAAAGAGAGAATATGCACGGTAGTAGTGGTGTCAAGAGAAAAACAGTTTTTTGGCACATCGTTTATTTTTGCGGGAACGTTTGTTAAACTTTCCCCCTCAGTGTTCCAATGCTAGGTGTATAATTGTTGTGAGGGAGAATATTTCTCTACAAGTTTGGACTCGGCCGTCGATCGGAAGATATAAAAATACGCTTACATCAAGAAGAGTATCAGGAGGAGCAGTGATGGCAGTAGCCTTTGCTGAAAACGGTTAACATGAAACGTGGCTAAACATTCTTTTCTCTAGTTTACGTTCTACATTATGTTTCTCTGTGCCAAAAGGTAAAAAACTTGTTGTTAAACCAATTCCGGTTTTCTAATATTGTTTTTGATAACTCAGTTACAACAATAATATTTTACGCACAATAAATTTGATGTAAAGCTAAACAAGATTGTTAAGGATGTTAAACAATACAAATTCACTTCATCTGAAATAATTCCATCAAATTGATGATCTATTGGTTTAACCTAGCTTAATTTTGAGTTCATCATCATCATAATTATCATCCTTTCTATGACTGGATTTGGACGTGGGGTCGCTATCCAACTGAGCATCACATCAATTCCCTCCACATATCTGGACTGAAAGCCGGAGAGGTATAAACCCGTTGACGCCCATCCTTTTTCAGGACAAAGCATAGCCTATGTCCTCCAACTTGAAATTTTGTCTTGGTCACGTTGTTTATATCGAGAGAGCCCTCCGCCCTGGCTGTTGACCAGTTTCGGAAACCCTCCGCCCATCAATACCGTGACATCACCACACGAACTGCATACTTATCTATAGAGCCGAGTTCAGTCTACATCATCCGAGTCATGGTTTTCAAATATTTTCCAACGATTCCACATGCTATGATCACCATCCCCAAGTTGATATTATCAAGTAGAAACTTCCCTGATAAATCGATCATAGTAAGATTCGAAACCGGGGCGAAATGCTAACCACTTGGACACGCGCTCGCGTTCTATTGTACGTAAAGATATACGACTTTTTTTTCCGGATCTTTGACAAACCGTCACTTTTTGCAGTGGGAACCAGCTGGGACTAAGACTTAGACTTACGATATTTTTTTTTATTCATTTAGAAATACTAAATAAATTTTACTCTGCACTAGATTTATAAAAGGCCAAAGACATTACACGTTATGTTATAACGTATAATAATATAATGTATAATATTATATAACGTATAATATTATATATAATAAATATAATTTAATAATTTCTCTTTAAATTAGGTTATATTTACTGGTTCAGTAAAGTAAGACTTGACTGAGTATATATTATAATCTATCAATGTAAAGTGCTATCGGAAAGTTCCGGGACTAGACAAAACACACACACACACACACACACACACACACACACACACACACACACACACACACACACACACACACACACAAAAGAAAAACATTATTTGGCAATCCTTCACTTAAGCGGCGTAAAATAAACTGTTATTCCCTGAACTGTGTAAAATCAGTAATATGATTTGCAATACTAATCATCTATTGCATTTTGCATGTAGCCTGTTTCAAACACGTTGTCGTTGTGCCTAAGCAACGCAGCACGGTTATAGGCTCCTTAGGATAATTGCCGTGCTCCAGTAAGAACCGAACTTCTTGCAAAATACAATTGACTCTGGGACACTTGGTAAACCACGTGACATCAAATTATTATAAGCAAAGGACATTCATAAAATTAAAACATTTAAAGATATAAAGTGACATTTTGTAAAGCTGAAATTTGACCGGTTATTTTACGCCGCTGAAGTATTATTTTATATTAATTAAATCTTTTGCAAACGAGATCCCAGACCAAATGAAAAAAAACACCAGAATATCTTTAAATCCGTTCTTGCAGGACTGAAAATTTTTCAGTTCCTCATCGTAATGGGAAATTGATGATGACAGACGGAAACTGCATGAAAGGTCTTGGTAGATAATTACATTTTCTCTCGGGAGTAAAGCGATGAACAACATGCAAGGCTATTTACTTGTGCACTGAGCTCACGTCTCATTGGATGTTCTCTACAATTATGATCCTGGATAAGACGAAACTACTAAGAAACTTGACACAGTCATAAAAAGAATGTTGTATAATCTGGAAGCCATAATGAGGAAAGACGACCTGCAAAATTGAACACTCACGGGATATACTGAAGGCAAGAGGAAAACAGCGAGTAACCTATTCATAAGTTTGTGTAAATGGATAGGTGAGCAAGGACAAAGAGGGATGGTAAAAGCAAAAACATTACAGGATGTGTGGAGAGGCATGATCGTATACGAAATGTCACATAAAAGAAGAGGTTTGATAAATCTGTCTCATTCTGTTCACATCTATCTATCAATCTATCTATCTATCTGTCTGTCAGTTTCTCTGACTCAGTCAATTCATATCTGTCGGTTTGTCTATCTTTTCCTGATCACTTCTATCTATCTATCTATCTGTTTGTTTCATTTAAATTAGCTCTAATGCAAATAAAGGTAGAACCAGTACTTTGTGCAGCAGACTCCCACGTGGATGCTTCCATGAACGCTACAATCTTAACCTCTTCAAATCAAAGGTCAAACGTTACCTATCCTTTATATCCACATAAGCCTTATTTCCAACATTGTACTCTTATATTCACACACCTCATTTAATAATACTCTACCATGAGTGGCTCTTGAGACTTGTATTGGATGAACATTAATAAAAAAAAATATACTGATTCTCTTAACGTTGCCTTGAGATAATGTTTCTTTTTCCGATTGTTCTTCATTTAAAGTGATGAATGGAGTAATAAATGAATTAAATTCTGTGAATTGTTTAGACTAGTATCTTCATTTTTGTTATTTCGATCACAGAGATTCTGCCGATGTGCATGCAAGGAATAATTATCAGGGAACTTTGAACAAATTATTTCATCACACTCGATATGTTTTTCAGTTAGTAATAATTTTTTATTCTAATTTCTTATTCAAATCATAATAATTCTTAGATTGAAGTGACAAAAATTCATGCTGCACTTCTTTCTTTCCCTGTGCCGTGTCCTTTTAGGACGTAGGCGATCATGGCTCTCCACCTCCCTCTATCCTTTGCAGCTCTCAATAAGTTCCTGCCCTCTGCGCCCCCAGACCACGTTTAGTCATCCACTTGCTTAAAGCTGCTAGGTATATCCTGCGTTGTTTTTGCTTGTCTCTCTTTCCCTCTTTTTGACCTGTGAGTATCAGATTCTCCAGGCCCTCCTTCTTCATTATGTGTCCCAGCTGCCTCTTCCTGATGATTTAGTTTCTTTTTTTTTTTTTAATCCGTCGATAAATTATATTGAAACTAAACCGGCATCCAAATTCACTTTGCACAGTAACGAAAAAAAACAAAAAAAACAAAATACAACTACAATCTTGTTTTCCTGACTGCTGGAAGTCCCCTTCGATCGTTCCTGTCTTCAAGAACTCCGGCGACCCCTCTGACCCTTCCAACTACCGTCCTATCAGTCTCCTTCCCCTCTTCGGCAAAGTCTTCGAAGCCCTAATCAATACCGAAGTGGTTAACCACCTCACATCCCATAACCTGCTCTCAGACAAGCAATATGGTCTCCGCTTTGCCCGATCTACAGCTGATGTGCTAACGGCCATCACTGAAACTGTCTACCGAGCTCTTCAAAATAACAGAGAAGCCCGTGCCGTGGCACTAGACATCTCCAAAGCATTTGATAGGGTTTGGCATGCCGGCCTTCTTCGCAAGCTCCAGGGTTATAGCTTTACGGGGCGATTGTATAACCTAATACAATCATTCCTATCAAACCGTGAATTGAAGGTCGTTCTCAGCGGTTTCTCATCCAGTTCCTATCCCACGAACGCAGGTGTTCCCCAAGGCTCCATCCTAGGCCCCACTCTATTCCTTATCTACATAAATGACCTTCCTGACGCCATAAATTCCAAAGTTGGCATCTACGTAGATGACACCACAATTTATTCCTGCCTCAAAAACAAATCTAGTGTCACGGACAAAACTAACCTGGCCGTGCGTCTCGAAAAGGACCTCCAATCGGTTGTGAACTGGGGCAAGAATTGGCTGGTCAACTTCAACGCTTCTAAAACAAAACTGCTCTCTATTAATCACCACAGAGATCCTTCCCTGCCCTCCATTAGAATGTCTGACGCTCAACTTCTCGAGAGCAACTCTCTGCGGCTGCTCGGTCTCACGTTGACTGCTGACCTGAGATGGAATAAATACATCGAGTCAATTCGTCCACCGCAAGGAAAGTTGGCTCCCTGTGCCGCGCCAGGAAATTTTTATCCCCGGAATCGATCCTCCAGATCTACAAATCAACAATTCGCCCTTGCATGGAGTATTGTTGCCATATATGGTCTGGAGACCCTTCTGTTTTCCTCGGGGTTCTTGATAGGCTCCAGAGGCGGATATGCAATATAATTGGCCCTGCTCTGGCATCTCGTCTACAGTCACTTTCTCACAGATGCGCCGCCGCCTCTCTCTGTCTGTTTTACAAATACTTTCATGGCAATTGCTCCTAGGAGCTGCATTCGCTGGTTCCCAGACTTCATGAGTTCAAGCGCCCTACGAGGCTGGCATCCCGCTCTCATCACTTCACTGTCGAAACTCCTAAATGTAGCCGTCTCTTGTATTCCAATAGCTTCATATCTCGCACTTCTCGACTGTGGAACTCCCTTCCCTATTCCAGTTTACATGAGAGCTATAATCTCCAGCTATTCAAGTGTAATGTCAATCGACAGCTCCAGTTGCCTTGATCTATCCACTACCCTCCTTCTTATCCTTTCTTCTATCACTCCTATCTGATCTTGCTCTAAATTTTCTGTAACCCCTTGCGTCCTAATGGCTTCCCGCCTTGCTTGGGGTGAAATGTTTAAAAAAAAAACAAAAAAAAAAAAAACAACAAAAAACAAACACCCCCCCCTCAAAAAAAAAAAAGACAAATAAATAAACAATCAAATTTGTTCTTCTTACCTTCGCCTACATACCAATGGACAAAAGCCCTTTTGGCATACATCAGGTCAAATTTACGGTCAAGCCTTGCCCACGCTTGAGCGATTGCTGTGGTGTTGCTCAGCATGCAAACCGCTCTTTGGACCCGCGCCAAATCTCCACCTTTCAAAAATAAAAACACAAAATATAAACAAACCGACAAACCTTATAGAAAATTCGTTTACCAATTTTTACATTCGAATCTTAATTTAAAACTGAAGCGATTACGGCAACATCATGAAAGCTTTAACATAGTCGGGGCCTTGCAAATATAGACACATGCACGTATACGCACACACAAACAAACATACACATACACACAGGCTTGCTCTTACACACATACACCCTCACATACCTCCACACATATACATGTACACCTACATCTGTGCGCATACCTAAATACAAGGGAGTATATTCATAAGTGTAACAGTATCTACCGGGGCCTGTGGCACTGATTGGCTGGTGAACTGGGTGTATGTATTTGAATCTTTCGCTGACGTTAATTGGCTGGGGTGAAATTAGCCAGACTCCAAGTGGATAGGAAACGAATTTCGTCTGACAGAATAAAGAATAGAAAAAGCTATTTACTTGGACTGTTAGCTCAGAATAGGCGGGATATTGTTAATCGAAGTCTGCATTAAGCTGTTGGCAACTGACCTGCTGGTTTAACTGGCTTAGTAGAAGGGGTCACAATGACAGTTTAAGATAATTTCCTCACAGATGAAGAAAAGACTAGAGGATAAAGAAATATGGTTCTACAGAATGATACTGAGAATATTGTGGATGGAACGTGGGAGTAACGAAGAAGTTTTAGAGAAAATGGAAATAAAAAGGGTTGTTGTACTTAGAATCAGGTAGATACAGTTGAAATTTGTAAGTCACATAATGAGGAAAGAGGGCTTGGAAAATTTGACACTCACAAAGCATATCGAAAAGAGACAGGTGGAAACAGTGAATCACCTACTTAATGAGTTTGTAATAAATGGATGACAGAACAGAGAGTCGGGAAGATGATCCAAAGACAAAACTTGCTAAGGATAGGAAGTTGTTGAAAACCACGATAACCCATGTTCTGACGGAAATGTCATAAAGAAGAAGAAGAAGAAGAAGAAGAAGAAGAAGAAGAAGAAGAAGACGGTTTGCTAACAAACTACGGAACAGCCACCCTCTTGACCCAGGGCAGCACTGCCTCCTCAAGGCACTTGATGTAGGTTTACATGTTGAGTCTGAGGCTCTGTGGGAATATGAAGGGAGGCATAATGTCGCCATCACTAGTGATCATGCCAAACACCTTCGTAATCAGTATTGGATTCTGCCAACTCTTTCCGAATTTTCTGCACTGTTCTCAGATTGACATCCAAACACTCCGACATGTTCGTATTTGAGCTTCTGGTGTGAATGCCAAACAGTTCAGTATACTGTTTCCAAATTTCTAGCAGAGTGAATTGCATCATGGTGGTCTTTTTCTCACAGACTGTGCCCAACTGACCCTACTATACTGACAAAATAATAATAAAAAAAGAACAACGCACATACAGGAAATTAAAAATATAAAATGACGACAATTTACCCATTGCACCCTGTACATGATTTAATTAATCTTGTACTGTTTTCACAATCATGGATGAAGTAGCAGAGTAGAGTGTGCCATCTAGCCTTGGGTGGTGGCCAGTCTAGAAGAAGGACAGTTCTAGATTCAAAATCATGGAGAAGGCAATGGAAAGCTGCTCAACTCTCTTTTCCGTGAAATCATGGCAATAATCATGGCCGTATAATAAAGAAAAGGTGGAGAGCTACATTCTGAATAGACATGGCATTAAAAAAGCAAACTATTTTACTCTCACTGAATCGCTTGAATCCATTTTTGTACTGGTGAATAAAAATGTCTTCCATTAGAAAATGAAATGAAAATTTGTACATTTTCCAAAATACCAATTTAATTCCAGAACAAGATGAAGAATAGTCATTTAAATCTCAACGTTTCACACCTGAGTTAAAAAAAAATCCTCCGCTAGATTCCGCTGGCTGTGCAAGCAACCCCCTCAAAAAAAACAAAAAAAAAAAAAAAAAAAAACTAGCAATGAAAATGGGCTTTAGATAAATCATCGGTTTGCTGTGCCTCCGCTGAATCTGTCCGATTCAACAAGTTTGTTTTAACGATTGCATCTTTAACGAGAGATCGTGTATGGAAAGGCGCTCAAAAAAGGAAAAGTCTCCCCCGTTGTGAATATCTTAGTGTCTATGTGTATTCATGTCTGTTTATAAAATACGTAAACACATTGTTGACTTATCTCTGTTGACTCCTCTCTGATTTCTGATTCCTACCCCAAATTCAGTCTCCCGCAATCTTTCTCTACCTTTAAACCCCAGACATACACAAATCGACTACCATAGGCTATAATTTTACTTCAGACGGTCGCCTCGAACCCCATCATAATATTCTCTACTCGGTATTATTACTGTGTGCGACAGTAGCACGCCAACGATGTCACGTTGGGGTACAAATTCACAAATTTAAATATACCTATCATGATACTCAGGCTGATAAGGGTATACCACGCACATAGATCACAACCAAATGAACGCGATATGGAGACAGGTTTTGATAAAAGCAGCGCGTAAATATGCAGGTAGGGATAAGTTAGAAATATCTTCAAGTTGGGTAACCTACTCCGTTCAAACAATTTCCGATTGATGGTACTCCCGAGTATCTAGATGTGACTCCTAAGTCGCTTTGGTTGACTCATCCTACAATGTTAAAAAAGCCTAGTGTGACAGTCCTTAGAAAAATTTTCAAATCGTTCTGGACAGGCAACTGACCAGTAAATCTGTGATTCTGTTGTAGAGTAATTTTCACAGTGGAGGCTTGTATTTCAATAAGTCGTCCTAAATTATGTTCGACGTACAAAACGTTAGGAACTTGAAATAATTAGTTAATGACGCAGCAATCTAGTTGTGATGGTTGATACTTCAATGTCCGACATCGACTGACTCGCTCAACACCACTGAGCCCAACTGGCCATTGATACTACTACTTATTATCTGTGGGAGAGTCTATTACAATAGAATAGGTATTATGGTATAACAGATTCGGAACGAGATATTTAATGTCGTCCATTGAAGTTCTGCATTTGAAGCCGAGATATGTCGACAATATTTTGTATTTATTTCGGAGTTAGGTAGACATAATTCTGCATTATATCCAAGTTATGTAGGCAAGATTCTGCAATTGAATCTGAGGTGTAGGCAAAATACTATATTTGATTCTGAATTACGTAGGTAGGATACTACATCTGAATCCTAGATATGTAGGCAGTATTCTACCTTTACTTGTCCACTACGCCATCATTCAACTTGAGTCGTTTTATACACTAACAAATTATTAGATGTTTGTAAATGTTCTCAGCTCCCTGTTTTTCTTTTTGAAAAATGTACGCTAAATACATCGTAGCAAACCAGTTTAAGAAATAGGCTAAAATATTTCTGATAGTAAAGGAAACTTTTGATGCTTACACACTGAAGTTTTCAATTATTGACTGAAAATTTGTTTTAGCAACTTTCGACGTTCAATCTGTATGTTGTGCTTTGAAAAAAAAAGAAGAAAGAATTGTCACCGATGAGGGATTATGGTAGACATTACTGGCGTATTAAGTCTATTATATCGACAATTGATCCATAAGTCCCTAGGTGAATAGTGATAATCGTGGAATTCTGATGTAAAATTTTCAATGTATATGGTTCGATCTATCAATGAAGAAGTGTTCAGCTAAGGGTATTGACAAGAAAGGAGATTTGTTGTGTAAAATAAATACTTTTTGTTATTATTAGGATACGGATTTATTGATTATGCTTACATATGTATATATGTATATACTCCTGGCAGCTCGAGGTGGTGTAATGGTTAGCAAACTTGTCTCGCTACGAATGAGTAGTGAGTTCGATCCTCACTGGGTACCCCTTACTTTCGGCCTTGTGCCACATCCAAGCTACGCATGGAAAATCGCTATAAAGATTAACTCTTTTCTATGATTTATCATTGTAGCAAATACGAAACTGCGCTAATATAGTATTTATTTAATTCGATTCTTCCTTTATTAAAGTTAGTCTAGTACAAAGCATTTGTTGTGCAGCGCCCAAGGAAAATTGAACTTACTGAACTAGAAAATTGGGTTGCGAGGCGAGTTTGCTAAATAACAAAGTTCCCACTGTATTCTTTTTTTTATATATCCATCCTGTGCGTTCATAGAAGTGTTGCATCAAAAGCAGTATTAATGCCCTCATCAAAATCACCATCAAATGATGAACGTGGAATTAGGCCTATTTTCAGTGTATACAGTGTATTTTGACTCGTTGGTGTATTTTTTCTTCTCTGTAAATATAAACGGTTTGACCTAAATCTGTCATAATTCTCTTGGGAAGATTCTTTGGTTTGAAGGTTAACCCCTGATAATTTTTCAGACTATTTGCTTGTTTCAAGGTCGTTCTTATTAAAAAATAAATAAATAAATAAAAACAAAAAAAAAAAAAAAAAAAAAAAAAACGAACAGAGATTTGCTGGTTGGCTGATGCACAGAAACTCTTTTCCGTCAGACGAAAAATTATAAACATATTTTGCCAGTAAAATTTGTTTTTAATTAAATGTGAGCTTAACGCCAAAGATATCTCCCCGCAAGAAATGTACTTGTCTTAGGGCAGCTGTCGTGATATCTCGCGGGAAATTCCTTCGTTTCGGATCTTCTTACTCTGACAGTGAATTTGATATTATCTCAAGATTATTTGTAAATAATGACGAAGACAGAAAAACAACGATTGTCGAGAAACGGGTTACACGACATCTATCGATATATATATATATATACATACATACATACATACATACATACATACATATATATATATATATATATATATATATATATATATATATATATATATATATATATGAAATAAAAAAACTATGACAAAGTGTAAGCAAGTTTCGTGTGACACATTTCGTCCTTTAGGACTTCATCGAGCTCAAGAACGAAACCCGTCACACCATGTCTTATATTTTTCTAACTTGAAATACCTACTCTAGCTGTGCTGAAACCGACTGAGGATTATTTCTTAGTGTGAAATATGAATTCACGGTAAAGTTTTCTGTCTCTAATATTTTGGGATTATATATATGTGTGTGCGTGTGTGTGTGTGTGTGTGTGTGTGTAGTGGAAAATCAGTTCTCGGACTTAATTCGTTTCAAGAAGTCGTTCGAAAAACGATTTATTTGAAAACCGAAACAATTTTTCCCATAAGAATTAATGTACAATGATTTAATCCGTTCCAGACCCCGGGGTGACTGCTTCTTTAAATCTATATATACTCCTATATAATAGTTCCATGCCTAAAATCGTATACAAAAAATTGTAAAAATATATAAAATTGTAGAAAAAACATACAAACGTACAAATATTTTTAGTGGATATTTGACGGCACACGGCCATAGTAGTGAGAAAGAGGAAGTGGAGAAAAAGTGATGCTGCTTGAAAATGGACTCACCTTTCATAATAAAACTAAGTAGCTGTCCATTTAGAGTTTTTTTTTTCTCTTTGTATTTTGGCCTCACCACTTGATTGTCTCGCTAAAATCCTGTTTCATGAAATTTGCTTTTGTCTTCGTTTTAAAATGTTCCTGAAGTGGAACATCACATTATCACTGAAGAGGTTTATTCTCAACAAAACTCATAGCTTTCTCAGCATCAAAGCGCTCATGGTTTCTTTCTGGCATATATTCTGGCCACAATTTCCTCCACACAGAGTCCATAGTCTTGTACGTTAGTTCTTGCTAGAATTTGTCGATAAGACTAACACAATAGATGATAAGAAAGTGATTTTTCCAGAACTTTGAGAGTGTTATTTTTGTATTAGAGGTCACTTCAAAACACATTTTCAATAAATTTTTAAAGTAGATCTTTTTAAAATTTGAAATGGTCTACTGTTTTTTTTTATTGACTGATTGGTTTGTTTTCAATGGCGTATCATTGCAGGTTATTCAAAGCCAGAAAATATTGCAGGTTATTTAAAGCTAGAAAATATTTTTAGATTGTAAGAACTTTTTTGCGGGGAGATAATGATTAGGGATACAAGTCTTACTAATTAACCCATAGCTAGGAGGAAAAGAAATGGATTCATTCCTTTCCCAAGCATATTTGCACGTAAGTGAATGTAAAGAACTCAACGAGAATTGAAACTCGGCTCCCAGATTAACAATTCCGAACCATTATTCATTACACCACCTGCACATCCAAGCTTACAGTATCTGGTATTCCCAAGCGGTCACCCATCTAGGTACCGACCAAGCTCGACATTGCTTAACTTCGGAGATCGTACGAGAATCGCTGTTTTAACGTGATGTGGCCATAAGCTGGAATAACCTGCTGAGTCATGTTAAGGTGTAGGAACTTTATATTGATGAAATAAAACACCTCCATCAATTCGTTCTCCAAGCCTGGAGAATGAAAAAGAGCATTGTACATCACATTATTGGCAAATTATTTTCTTTGGGGCCAAAGACTTGGTATATCCACTCAATAAAAAACTGTTTCGTTACCGAAACCTTAATATTAGCCCTTCCGATCCATTATCTATTGCACTACCACCGCATGCAAGCACCTGGTATTCCCAAGCGGGTCGTTCGTAGTGTTTCGCGTTGGAGCATTGCACTAAACAACTCTTGTGACTTTAGATAGGCTAAATTCAATTTAATATTCTCCTGTCTTTCTATTTATGTCTCTTTGCATTCGTTTTTTGTACTAAAATTCACTGAATACAAGGCTCGAAAGCCACTCAAGGTAGAAGGCTATTTTTAAAATGTTTATAATGAATGAGGTGTGTGATATGAATGAAAGCGGAGGAGTTAGGAAGTGAAGATTACGAGGATATGGTGTATGTTTGTTCTTAGTTTCGTTACATACCTGGTACAACGGTGGGTGGTTGGTTGTTGATGCCCACTTTAAATCCTGTCGGGCACCAGTCGACGAACTGAATGGAGTTTCTGGTTTTGATGGCAGCGATAGCCGCATTGACGTCTTTGGGGGCGACATCTCCACGATACAACATACAACAGGACATGTATTTGCCTTGTTGAAGATCACATTTCACCATTTGGTTGCTCGGGTTGAAACAGGCATTTGTAATTTCTTGAACTGTCAGTTGTTCGTGGTATGCTTTCTCGGCTGCAAGGAACAGACAAAAGAAGAGAAAGTAGCATCATCGTCATCACCAATATTAACAACTTCTCAACAGAAGAGAGAGCACTTACGTGAACCATTGCTCTCAAGAGTAATGCTGTCTGAAACTCTCGCTAACTGGTAAGGCCACCCTTGACACTAAAAATATAAAGGCTGCAATGGCGGATATGAGCGAAGAGGCATAAAATAAACGACTGTTGGAGGAGAAAATTCAAACAATTTCTTACCGATTTATGTTGGAATTTTTGAAAAGAGAAATTAATAATTTTTCTTTCGTTCCTTAGTTAGCCTGTACGTTACCTTATGTTATTACCGCTGACAAACAATGGACCATTCCTGTTCGACGGCGAGGATAGACAGAAGAAAAGGTATCTGTCTATATTTCAGAGATGAGGTATTATTATGTACACTATTTACATTATTCGGAATATTGTTCTCATCTTTGTTACTATGCAATGATAACAGCAAAAAATTGCAATATAAGCACTGGTAAAAAATGGTTGCTGAAGACATTAGGTTTATAATACCCAGAAATTCATACACATGTGTGGATAAAGTCGTTAGTTAGATCCAGTGACAGGACCCAAAGAGCGTGAGTTCAATACCTGGTTAAGGCGGTGGAGATCATGGAAAGGGGAATTAACAGGAGATAACTGATAACTGACATCCATTAGACATGGCACGTCGAACTACAACAGTCTACCCCAGCGAGCGAAATAAAGGGTTCATTCAGTTCGACATTCCAACCACTTGAAGAAGGCCGGAAACGTTGTGATAAATATAGTAACAAAGATGAGGACAATAGTCCAAATAATGTAAATAGTGGAAGAAAAGGTGTATCAACGCACTGTTTTTTTTTGTTTTTTTTAGAGAAAGAAAAGGAAAAGAAAGAAAGGGAAGACGGAGGAGGCGATAACACTCTCGTGCGTTTAACGTTTGCTTTCGTGAAATGTAAAGGTTTGACAATTTTTAATTTCATTTGTACTGTCTTATATTCGTTAAATAATAACTTTCAATCATATTTCTGATTGTTATTGCAATATTTTCTTAAAGTCGTTAAGCTCATATATTTAACAAGGCAATAAGGGAAAACTCCACGTATTTTATAGTCGTGGAACTTACAAGGAGCTTATTCAATCCTTAACTTAAGAATTAAGATTACCAGAAAATTTAAATTATCCAAACCGTGAAAAAAAATCATGAGTATTGCTATTCAAACCAACACGAACACGTTGGTTGTTATACTGACAACGTTTCGGTCGTTATACTCTCCGACATTCGTCAGGTGTCTATCGTCATCGTACTCAGTAACCTCAAAATTATGAACTGAATTCTTTATACTATTCACGAGGGTGGACTGTTCCCATTCCGCTTGTCATGTTTAGGGGGAGATAACTCATATCAAATATTTAACATCTTATTCACCCTTGTATCTTCAATGGGTGATCCATACTTTCAGCCTTGTGCCACATCTAAGCTACGCTTAGAAAATCACAAGAGGCACCTCTATGTGGTGTAATGGTTAGCAAGCTTGTCTCTCGGGAACAATTACGACTGAGTAGTGAGTTCGATCTCCACTGCCTCGTACTTTCGGCCTTGTGCCGCATCTAATTTACGCTTAGAAAATCACCTTATTCACCTTTCACTTATCTTCCGTCGAACCCGAGTGTGTAAATTTTCAGTACTATCAGACACAGAAAGTGAACCAGATATGTTTAATAGTAATGCTTTAATTCATTAGATCGATTCTTGGAATACGACTGACTGGTAGATTAACTGATATGAAATATCCCGTAAGCATGGATAGTGGAATGAGAACAATTTATTCCCTTGGATTAAATACATTAAAAAAAATCTCAGAAGGTTAAAGAGTACAACGGCAGTCACCCGAAGAAAGCAGGAGATTACAACGGCTTAATCGTTGTGAATATAACAACCAAGATGGACATTCTGATTCGAATAGCAGGGTTTCTAATTAATTTCTCGTCGCTCGGTGTAGCACGTCAGACGGCCCTGGCCTAACTGGGTCCACGGCTGCAAAGTCGATTTGTAACAGACAGGAAATTCGATACAACATATCTGAATTACCATCGTCTCGCATCCTATGCCATTGAACGCGAGTACAGTAGTTCCAAATACACTGATTACATGTTTTCGCAATCATCTTTTACGTGAACAGCTTCAATTTGCATCTTGTCACGCTTGTTCGTATTTAATAATAAAATCTATTGACTTTATTTTCACGGGTTATCTTGTTACAGTAGCTTGATTGGTAGTCCTCTTGAGAATTCCAATTTTCAAAACTGTAATATCATACTTCTTCTTTTTGTGTGTGTGTCGTGTCCCTGCGGAACGTACACTACCATTTCTTTCCACAACTTAACCTTTGTAACTCTTAGCAATATTTGCCATCTTACTATGCCCAGCCCCAGCCAAGCTCATTAGGTAGATTACTCGCCGTTTTCCTGCTTCCTTGCCTTCAATATGTTCTGAGAGTGTTAAATTCCCCAAAGGCTTTTAAATTAGAGAATGTTCATGAATGTTCATCAGGTGGTTGAATGGTCAGTTAAAACATGTTAATTAATATGGAAAACGATCGATAAAGGCACGAAGGTATATATATATATATATATATATATATATATATATATATATATATATATATCATAATAGTAGATGTAGGGTTGTTTGTCATAAAGTTTAAATTAAGAAAGAATAAACGAAAGGAGCAAGCGAGCAAAGCAACTTCCGTTTATGGCTGTTAAAAGGTTTACCTGAAATTATTGGAGCGTACGTGACCAAAGGGAAATGAATTCTGGGATAGGGCACGAGATTGGTCTGGAATTCTGTTAGGTCAACATTAAGGGCGCCGTCGAAACGAAGAGAAGCTGTGATAGAGGAAACAATCTGACCAATGAGGCGATTCAAGTTGGTGTAAGTCGGGCGTTCAATGTCTAAGTTTCGGCGGCAAATATCGTAGATGGCTTCATTGTCGACTACAAAGGCGCAATCAGAGTGCTCCAATGTGGTGTGCGTGGTCAGTATGGAGTTGTATGGCTCTACAACGGCCGTTGATATCTGTAAGGCAGAAAAAAAATGAATAGTGGAAAAATATCTTTAGGTACAGTGGATTAAAATCAATTTCATACCTAAAGATATGTTAAACTATCTTATTTGAGAGGATTTCGTTGACGAATAGGATGATTAGTCTTTTTTCATGCTCTACTTATTTCAACGAAGAGCTACGCAATAGTTCAGAAAATTTGTTCATGTAATAAAAACAAAACAACAAAAAAGCAAAAAAAAGAAACAAAACAAAAAACAACAAAAAAGAAACAAAAACAAAACAACAAAAAACAAAATAACAAAAAAGAAACAAAAACAAAACAACAACAAAAACAAAAAACAAAAACAAAACAACAACAATAAAAATCAAAACAAAACAACAACAAACAAACAAAACAAAAAACAAACAAAAAAATCTCCTATTTAGTTTCTTCCTTTCTTTGAAGTGATCTCTTCGGACAGAAAAAAATACTGCCCATAAAGAGTAGCGACAAGAATCCCTTCAATTTTTGGCGCGTTGTTTTCTTTGTTAGGACCTCATCTCTTTACCTTAGATTCTGGTTGGGACTCAATGAGAATTGGGTAATTTCTTTCCGGTTAAACGGCTGGCCCGATTATTCGACGCAGTATAAAAACAATTTAAATTTGTGCCTTTCTTTTAGTGCTATTTCGTAAGAAAGTGCAGGTGGCGTAATGAATAACTTTGCGGAAAGTGGTAATCGTCGAGCCGAGTTCGAATTCCACGCTCCTCTGTTGCGTTCACTTTCGCACTAATGTTTTTCTTTTCACCGCCACAACAATGATTTCAATAACAGTTTGAACTGAACTCTCTCTAGCCTTGGTCTAAAACAGGGAGAATTTGAAATTCAAATCCGTGGAGATGGCACCAAGAAACCACTCCACTATCTTTCCCAAGAAGTCTTGCCAATTCCCAGATAATAAAGAAAAGGAATCTGTGAAGAGATCCATGATCGATGATCGCTTACGTCCCAAATAGACATACCATTAAAAATAGTCAGAAACGTATAAGTTTTCATTGAATCAGTTGAAAAACAAGACTTTTATAACTAAACAAAAACATTTATAAATATTTAGACAAAAAATCTTAACAAAATATTTATATTTTTACATCAGAGATGTTGAAAGATTTCGACGATTTCTGGATTGGCAACTATGAATTTAGAACTGTGGAGAAGACAATACTCGACTATCTTTCTTACGAATATGTCAATTCAGGGATTACTCTTTGTTGCTGGTACCATGTAACTCATTACACTCTGTCGCATGTTACTTGGAGAGGAGATGGTCGCCGCCATGTGATTCCCATTGCTATGAGAAATGACATTAAGATCAATTACTATGAATGGCATCCCTATGATCTCATAGGTCATGATTTGAACTGCAACTGCATCTATTTGGTGATTCAGCTTGCAAAAGAACTGTCTTGAGCTATAAATTAAGTCGAAAAACCCCAGAGAATTCGCTTACTCACTATATTCTTGTGTGATATTTGTAAAATCCCACCCCCGCAGTATGGATGCTAACCATTTCAAACCAATATGCAGCTGGTGCTCAGAAAACAGTGAAAGAGAGTGTGTGTGTGTGTGTGTGTGTGTGAAAGAGAGAGAGTGGGGGGAGAGAAAGATAGGGAGAGGGGAAAAAAAGAAGAAAGAGAAAGAAGGAGAAGTGTGAATAGTGTGGGTGTCCCCGAGTGTCGAGTGATCAATTTCCTGCGTTTCCTTTATATAAAGACTTCCGGGTTTACGGTGGGCGTTCATTCTTATTTTATTTCATTTTTCATCTTTAATAAGGGAAGAGAAATGAGTCGTGTTAAAAAAATGAACAGACGTGAATTAGTTGAAGTGTAAGTTGGACAATGAACGGAGGAGAGGTAACAGTAGGGAAAAGAGAGACACATAGAAACACTTAACGTCAAGGGCGGGAAATCGCGGTCAATGAATGACGGCACTTAAACTTCGCCCGCGCATACGTGCAGGCAAACATACGAGGTCTGTTCAGAAGCTATTTAACATTTACGAAAAGATAGACTACATAGGGCACTGGCGCCTTAGTCCACTTCAAAGTACTATCCTTAGAAGCTAGCATGCTTATCCCAACTTCCATTCCAATTTTCAAAACTATGTAATATCCTATTTCATCTTTTTTTTGTGTGTGTCGTGTCCCTGCGGGACGTACATTACCATTTCTTAGCAATATTTGTCATCTTACTATGCCCAGCCCCTGTTCTACCATCCATATACACAAGCTCGTTAGGTAGGTTACTGGCTGTTTTCCTGCTTCCTTTCCTTCAATATGTTCTGTGAGTGTTAAATTCTCCAAGCCTTATTTCCTCATCATGTATCCTCGACATTTCAATTGTCTCTTATTGATTCAACGTATAAATGTACTTTTTGTTTACATTTTCCTTAAAAGTTCCTCGTTGCTCTGTTGAACTACATCCCTGTGAGTTCAAGTGTCCTCTTCGTCGGCATTCGCTGTCATATAGCAACAGTTGTGCGATCTTTTCTTTGTTTCCCGTTTCTTTGTTTCCCGCTTCTTTGTTTCTCGTTTCTTTTTTCCCCGTTTTTGTTTCGTGTTTCTTTTTTCCCGTTTCTTTGTTTCCCGTTTCTTTTCCCCTGTTTCTTTTTTCCCGTTTCTTTGTTTCCCGTTTTTTCTCCGTTTCTTTGTTTCCCGTTTCTTTTTCCCTGTTTCTTTTTTCCCGTTTCTTTGTTTCCCGTTTTTTCTCCGTTTCTTTGTTTCCCGTTTTTTCCCCGTTTCTTTGCTTCCCGTTTGTTTTTCCCCCGTTTCTTTGTTTCGTGTTTCATTTTTCCCCGTTTGTTTTTTCCCCCCGTTTCTTTGTTCTCCGGTTGTTTTCTCCTCGTTTCTTTGTTTCCCGTTTCTTTTTCCCCCCGTTTCTTTGTTTCCCGTTTTTTGCCTGTTTCTTTGTTTCCCGTTTCTTTTTTCCACCGTTTCTTTATTCCCCGTTTTTTGCCTGTTTCTTTGTTATCCGTTTCTTTTTTCCCCCTGTTTCTTTGTTTCCCGTTTTTTGCCTACTTCTTTGTTTCCCGCTTCTTTTTCTCCCGTTTCTTTGTTTCCCGTTTGTTTTTTCCTTGTTTCTTTGATTTCCGGTTGTTTTTTCCCCGTTTCTTTGTTTCCCGTTTCTTTGTTTCCCTTTTCTTTTTTCCCCGTTTCTTTGTTTTCCGTTTCTTTTTCTCCCGTTTCTTTGTTTCCTGTTTGTTTTTTCCTCGTTTGTTTTTTCCCTGTTTCTTTGATTTCCGTTTGTTTTTTCCTCATTTCTTAATACCAGTCACAGCAATACAGAATAGAAATATCCTATTTAGTTCTTCTTAATTCTTAATCTCTGTAACAGTCTTCTCCCTTTTCAAGTCCAGTTTTTTTGTTTTGTAAAATCTTAACGTTTCAGGAAGCTGGAGAAACCTCGTAAATACGCATTTAAATATTCATGAATACCTAGCCTACTGTGTAGTGAATTTAATCCTCATTGGGTGCTCCGTGTTTGTAACCAGAATAAACCAAGATTAGCAAATCTCTCCAAATGTACAAACACGTATAGTTATCAGAAAATTGGTATGAAGGAGTGGCTTTAAACTACGTTTACTTGTTTCAACCACCATTTCGCGTTAAAACTTTTGAAAAAACCATGGACTCAAATGTTCTAGCAAATGTGTTCGCCAAAAAAGGTATTGAAAGACAAAAAGATTGAATTAACACTTCCACTGCTACATTGTTATATGCCCGTCGCTATCTTTATGAAATAATTCTCTTCTGAATCGGAATCAACAAACATTTCTTCCATTTACTTAGCATTTAGAGGCTAACGTCGATTTTTTTTATGGACGACGCCATTTTGATTGCGGTCTTATACTTTACATTAAAAAGCTAAACGACACCTCCAACACGCAATGTAATGTTCGGTGCTAAGTGTTTATATATATATATATATATATATATCGACAGCAAGTAATGTATGTTTTGGAAAGACGTATAATTACGTCCACGGCAACGGAAGTGTTAAGAGCAAGTTCTGTGTTATAAAACCGTTTTATTGAAATACTCCTCGAAAAAGTAACCTTAACATTTAATTCGAACATTAAATACCAATTAGTCACCTAATTGAGAAGCTAGATACTCTATATCGCTTATGTAGCTATTGGCGTGTTTAGTGGCTGAGGCAGTTGCGTACTTTTAAATTTGGATCTATAGAAAAAGCCAGAGTGTTAAATTACTTCATGAATATTCTTCGGAGTGATCAGCGAATGCATATAAAGACTTAACGAGAAAAAAAAATAATGTCAAGCTTTTTCAATTTGATATTTGTTGTTGAATGCAATCTGTGACCGGAGGGTGCATTCTTGGCAAAGAATTCATCCTACTCTGCTATATAACCAATAGCTGTGATAAGATATGTATTCTAGCCTTTTCAAAGGACATTAGCACGAAAGTGAACGCAAAAGACTAGGCTGGAATTCGAACTCGGGTCGATCATTCCACTTTTCGCGCCCGTAATTTTTACGCTATCTGTACATCCTAAGCTTAATATATTGTCTATAATTATATATTTTTATAGATAGATAGATAGATAGATAGATAGATATGAATGGGTGATTTATGAGAGGAAAAGTGTTTTGGTGTTAGTGCTTCTTATGAAATCATAGTTGGAAGAAATGCTCAAATTTCTACCTTAACCGTAGTGATATGCCAGTGAGAGGCATTTAGAAAGTGCAGGGATAAGTGGATTCATGCTTTTCCAAGAGTATTATAGCGAAGTGAACATAAGCAGCCTTTGCTGAAATTCGAACTTGGTTTTGATTTCCGTCCCAATAACCATCATCTCCACATCTACACATTTAACCTAATCATTCGTCCTATCCTCCTCCCCTCCTCATCTCTCTCTCTCTCTCTCTCTCTCTCTATATATATATATATATATATATATATATATATATATATATATATATATTTTGTGTGTGTGTGTGTGTTTATTCTAAAATAAATGCGTAATTCACCTTCCTCTCTACCGGGAGCTGATAGCTCAGGTGAAAAATTTCCAACTGATGTCAAATCAGTTGGGTTTCAATCCTGGATTGAGGCAATCGGATGTGGAGCCACACTGATGAGCTGTGATACAGTGAAACAATCTGTCTGTGGATGATACACGCATATATATATATATATATATATATATATATATATATATATATATATATATGCGTGTGTCATCAATATATTATTAAAATAAAAGTAAAACGTTCAATACTTATGGAAGGTCAGCTCAGAGTTTCGTAATTTTTCAATCACTCATCGAGACTCTCGGCAAGAATGAGTGTACTGATCACAGAAAATGTATTTTTATAAGCGCCTATTTAGACGCTAACTTTTACATGTATGTAAATTCTACAGACACAACGGTCAATATTCACGATTTCCTTGCAACAACTGAAAAGTCCAATAATCATTCTTGTTTTTATAATTTTTAGTTAAGTTTGCTGAAGGTCACATCTGCGGAAAATCTACTTTAAAACTATTTCGGAATTGGCAAAGCAAGTTCGAATTCCGACTCTAACTATTCGTATTTCCTTTGCTCTAAAGCCAAAAGATATCTATCGTTTCACTCATTAGAGTTACACAGAGTTAACTTTTTAGCAAAGACATACGTGTTGATTTCAGACCGATTTGTAGAATATACATAGTACATTGTAAGTACAGACGCAGCGAGAAAGTAAGTTCAGGTTTCTGGGGCAAGTAGATACTATGCACTTATGGGCGTAGGTGGCGGTGACAGCGCATGCCTGTATATAGAAAAGCAGGAAGTTTCAAGTGCTGTCGCACCTCTAATTAACTTTAGATTGACTAGTAAGTAAATGCAAGCTCAGCTCATTATTGAGGTTTTTTTTTTTTACTTGTAATGATTCCCCCACACCAGCAAAGCAATAAAGCCATTGAGACTTAATGAGTGTGAAAAGAATCTGAGAAAAATAAAACAGAGAGAGGGCAATAAAAGAAAAGAATTTAAGGAGATAACGATTGACGTTACATTTAAATTTTTGAAGATCATAGCTGACAGGAAAGTAAGAAGCAGGAAGAGAATTTCACAGTCGAGAAGTGCTAGCAAAGAAAATATCAGAATAGAATTTACAGTTATATCTACCAAATTCAACTGTAAAATGATGAGACCTAACTGCCAATCAAGTACTACGCTTAAATTCATAAAGTCGATGTACCAAAGAGTAACGCTCATCGCAACAATTACCATGTAAATATTTATAGCAAAGACACAGGGAAGCTCCGTTACGGTGATGGGAAAGTGATTGAGATGACGGTCAGTATCAATAATATTGCAAATTTTTCTTCGTATGGTGTCAAAAATCTTTACATATATACAAGCACCGGGCCAGATGTGGCAGCAATATTCAATTCATTGTGGTAAAAACTCAATAGATAAGAGTATCTTCAAAATGAGGCCTTCTGTGTTAGAGCGTTGTGTATAAGCTGTGAACACTGATTCACCCGGGTGCGTCTATATTTAATAATTATATAACTATATTATGTAACTATATTATATAACTACATTATATAACTATATAATTACATAACAACATTATATAACTATATAATTACATAACTACATTATATAACTATATTATATAATTATATAGTTATATAATAAGTGGCATAGAAATGTTTTTTTTTAATCGTTAGGGTACGGACTTAATGATATACTGACTTTACATCATTGTTTAATGCCATATCCCTTCAGGACATAGTCGATCAGGGCTCTTTACAAAATACTTTTCTTTATTATCTGTGATTTAACAAGCATTCTTTGGGAAGATAGAGGTGTACTTACCCGTTGCCTTCTCTACGATTTGGAATTCAGAATTGTGTTTCTGGTTGCCGTCCAAAGCTAGACAGTCCAGTCTACCCTGATATTTGAACTATAGCTGAGTGGTGAGGATAGAAGAGACGGATAAATGCCTATCCCCAGGGCATTTGTGTGACAGGGAATTCAACAAATCAGCCCAGAATCTGAACTCGCCGATTCCACTTTCGCAGTATTCGTGATATTATCTGCACATCCTATACTATTATGTACAATAATATATATATATATATATATATATATATATTAAAATGTTATCTTATAGAGAAAACCATTTTACTCACTACAAAGATGCAACTTGGTTGCAACACATTTCAACTGCACTTCGACAGGTGAGAATCGAAAATCGTTATGAACAATCCTGCTTGTAGGCAAGCCGTATATTTCCTTTTTCCATTTGTTTGAGAAGAAAAATACACATAAAAAAAGGAAAACGGTGACGGAGTGAAACGATTGTTCATAACCATTTTTGATTCTCACTCGTCGAAGTGCAGTTGAAATGCACTGAAACGAAGTTGCATTTTTGTAGTGAGTAAAATGGTTTTGTTTATATGATAAAATTATAATAAATAAATAATTATCGCTCGACTATCGGTATCGAGCCCTCTTCTGGATTAATGCTGTTAACGTTGGAATTTATGTATTACTTTCGTTCTCATCGCATATATATATATATATATATATATATATATATATATATATATATATATATATATATGAGAAATTAAATTGGTAATCCGTATGGAGTTCCCAAGAGGATAAAGATCCGAGACAGATCAAAATTATTAATTAATGAATATCGTCAAACTTAAAATACACCATAAGTATTTTAAGTGTTTGATATTCATTAATTAATTAATGAATTAATCTATCTATCTATCTATCTATCTATCTATCTATCTATATATATATATATATATATATATATATATATATATATATATGTGTGTGTGTGTGTGTGTGTATATGTGTGTGTGTGTGTGTGTATGATTAAAACGAAAAATGGTCTATGTGTAATATGCAGATTTAATAGTTAATGAAATCTGAGGAATAAAAATGACAAAATCGTAACAATATTGGCAATAAGATTGATGATATTGATTATATATATATATATATATATATATATATATATATATATATATATAAGAAGGCCTTTTTGAATAAATTGAAGCACGAAGAGAAAATTTGTGTCCTTTTTCAACGAGACGAGAAATAACCAAAGAGTTCTTAAGGTAATATTAGTTTAATCCGCATAACTTTAGTTAGTTCATTTTCGTAAATTACAAATATCTAACCATTAAAAATGGCAGAAAATTTAACTAAATACTTTACTAGAAATGGACGAGTTAAATTTGACAAATATTGATCCAGAACTTTTTGAGTTATTGAAGTTTATT